TTCTTTGAGGGCACTGATGTCTTACATTTTCTTTACTAAGGAAAACATCCTGACTAACCCACTAGTGATAATGCCCATGACCACAGTCCAAATTATAATCATGTAAGAACAAAGTGAAAACATCTTCTTGAGAAACTAAATTCCCTTCCCAAGTGTCATGCCATCATCTTCTGAGCAACATCTTCTGAGGCACAAAGGAACTGCTGTTTTTGAGTGTTCCCTGCGCAGCCAGTAAGTGCTGACACCTTCCACACCTTCTCATTCCATCCTTTGGGCCCCAGTTCCTGAATCTGGTCCCCAGAGCAGCAGTATCAGCAGCGGCTGGAAACTGGTTGAAAATGGATATTCTCAGGTCTCACCACAGACCCATCAGTAACTCTGGGGGTGGGGCCTAGCGATGTGTCTACCAGACCCTCTGGGCAATTCTGATGTGTACTGGTGTCTGAGAAGCACCATTACAGTCTGTGAAGTGGTTAGCATCAGCCCCACTTAAGAGATGAAGAAACTGAAGCTCAGTGAGGAGAGTGCCCAAAGTCGGCCAACCAGGAGGCCAATTTGTACTCACATCTGATTCCAAAGCTATTTGTCACATGGCCTTTGTAGCCAAACTGTCTGTACCACTTGGTGCCCTCAGCCACTAAGCCAAGATGCAGTGATGACATTAGCTTAAGAGGGGTGGGAGTTGAGAGGAAGGACAAAGCCTGTACTCAAAAGTGATTTTAGATGCTTTTAAATCCACGTCATGCATCAGCCCTAGATGGTCAAGCATCCCTCAGGATGAGCCTGCTTTTCCCTGTTCCATTTACCAGCCAGGCTGTCAGGAAAAGAATGTCGGGAGTTCCTCTGTGCACCCAGTGCCTAGCACTGCTTCGAAAAGAAAAATTAAATTACCTGTCTGTCTCCAGAGGACTCAAAAGTGCAGCCTAGACACTCTGCCTAGACCAGGACCAACGGGAAGGCACAAGGCAGGCTCCAGTCCCTGGGTATACTGGGAATGAGTCACCAGAAAGAATCCAGTGCATGTACATGAAACATTTTAACAATGTCGCAGGTCTGGTTCAAACAAATCAGGCCTTCTTTTCTTTCTTTCTGTTTCTTAATCAAACCCTAAATCTACCATCTATCAGTTCAAGTGGCCCATTAAACTCTTGACATTCAAAGCACATTGCTCTCACAAATCCTAAAAAGACAGAAATCTCAATTACAATTCCCAACCTTCTAAATAAACTTGGTGGTGACTTCCAGATCACAAGTTTGTCCTGTAATTTAAATGAGAACCCATTATACTGTGGGGATTTCTACAGGTAGAACAGGAGGGACTCAGGCTTGGGAATTACACAGACCTAGGTCTGACTCCTGGCTATGCCAGTTTCTTAAAGGTTACTTAACCCTTCTGGGCTTCGGTTTTTCCACTCATAAGGTGGTAATCAGGATGTCATAGGTGGATGTAAAGACAAAATGAAACTGTTTACAAAAAAAAAAAAGGTCTGCTGAAACAACTTTGTATTTCAAGGTGTCAGAACTTAACCAGTCAAAAATTTAACCGCCTGACAGGAACAGAGGACAGAAGTATGGTCAAACAAGGCCACACATGGGCTACTGAATATACTCAACCGCAGGTATAATTACCTCACGGTATCTGTTTTTCTAACTCAGTTTCTATTTTTAGACACCTTGAATGAGCTAATTAAGATCAAAGAAAATTTCACTGAGGAACTTATCAGGAAGCCTGTCAATTTCCAAAAATCAATAGGTAGACATAAACAGTCATTTCAAAATGCATCTGACAAAAACAAAATGTGCTCTCTCCCACCCTCAACAATCTGTTAAATCACTCCGCAGTACTCAGTTCACTGTCAACTTGCAGGAGGGCTTTAAGCAAGTCTCTTCATCTCTATGAAACTCAGTTTCTCAAATGAGGAAGTATTTGGAATCCAACAGACCTGTTCGAATACCAACCCACCACTTACTGCTGCGTAACCTTGAGCACATAAGTCCCTGGGTCTCAGTTTCCTTATCTGCAAAAGGGGAATAATAACCACATTACTGACATATGACTGCTGGACTAACAGCACAGTTTGTGCAAAAGCAAGACAGAACAGTGGAGCCTGTGGGAGGGGATCAATAAAAGTTTGTTCCCCCACCCCCAGGCCTACTTATTCACACCCCAGACCCTTACTGAGCACCTGCCATGTGTCAGAGACTGAGATGGGTACTGGAGAAGTAAAGAAAGGCAGGGCGGGTAGTTGATGGCCTCAAAGATATCACAGTGCCACAAGACCCCTGATACTGAGACTATGTGGTAAGTGCTCTGATTGTTTGGGGTGGTAAGGCCTGGAGAGCAGAGATGAATGGGTCCAAACACTGGAAGAGCTGGCTGGCAAAAGTTGGCAGAAGAGGTTAGACTGGACCAAACACATGAATAGGAAGTTCAGCAAACACGGAAGGGCAGGGAAACCAGATAATTTCTCATATCTTCCCCAACCTCATTCCCTAAGTCCAAGCCCTTTGATTTCTCCAAAGCAGGGTCACAAGGCACTCATGCCACAAATGACAACCAGCAGCCATCCACACCCCACCAATCTGACAGGAAGGTTCTGGTGAACAGTGAGAGCAGCTGCCAAAAAGCTTTGAAAAATGTAATGTGCTTCCCAAGAGCATAACAGAACAATCCCATCCATGAAAATCTCTTAGCATGATAATACACAGAGAGCTGAAAGTTGCCCCGCCTAATGAGGTCTTAAGAAAAAAAAAAAGCTCACTCTTAGTCAGGAAAAGCTAAGCCATTAAAACAAATCAGTCCTAGAAACTGATTTTCAACTACTTATTACAGGACTCTTACCAGAATCCCAACTCTGGAGAAATACACACCTTATCATGGAAGACAGTGACGGTGTTTCTACAGAGGATTTTTACAAGGGACTGGTCACTTTCAAGACTGCATATACCATGCTAAGTATCCTCACGTGAAAGTTTTACATTTTTCACACCTCACATGAGTGCCTGGCATAACACACGTTGCCTCCACAGAGCTAGCTCCCCATCTGCCAAGTTCAGGGTTTAGGGAGGCACGAAGCCTGCATAAACCAGGAGAGATCAGTACATCCCACAGGGCAATCCAAACTTGCTCCTGGTCCAAGGGCTTGTGGGATGCAGTCTTGAATCATGCCTTAATTTACACTTTCCCCAACTCTTTTAACAGCCAGTTTCTTATTCAATGTTTACAAAAGAATAGCCTAGTAGACTGGTAAGGACAACTAACCCAACGTTAAAATTCAAGAAACAAGTAGGCTTTCAATATAAAAATAAAAATATAGATAAACAAAAGATGAGAAGATCTTGGTAGTTTCTGCAACATTACCACTTATTCCAAATACAATCACTGAACAAGTACCGCTGATAAACAACCTGAAGTCCCTTTTGATTTTCTTTAAATACAGATTAAAATTTAATTACCAGTGCAAACTCAATCACAGCTGTGCAGGATTCAGTACATGGTTTTGTCATCACTTATCATGCAGTATCTACAGCTACAAGACACACGTTTCTACCAAATCGTCATTACCTTACGTTGACTGAGGGAGAGAGGGTAATTAAAATTCACCTTTTCAATCATTTTAACCCCCAATTCCAATCCCTTCTTTCACAGGGCATTTTCTGGGGGTGGAAAAGAAGAACTCTACTTTTTTCTAATGTCTTCCCCAACCTCATTCTCCAAGTCCAAGCCCTTTGATTTCTCCAAGCAGGATCACAACCCTGTTAAACCCCTGTTCCAATCCCTTCTTTCACAGGGCATTTTCTAGAGGTGGAAAAGAAGAACTCTACTTCACGTCTTTCACTGCCCATTTTCTTGTGTAAATGTTAAAAATAGAGGAGTGAGGTAGTCGTGAGCATCTCCCTAAAAACAAATGTTTTAAAATGTGAAGAGCGCCCTGGAGACCAAGCTTTTAGTTCCAGCAGTGACACAGTATCACTGCGTGACCTTGGGCAATTCACTGCACCTCTGGGCCCCAGTTTCCACCATGTGGCTACGCCCCATCCTCTCTCAAAGCACGGAGTTCAGATGTGTCCCAAGGGCAAAAGGGTAAGGGGCCCCCAAACGGAGTCCCTGGGACGAGGGATGGGCTTTTCACAGGCCCCTGCTCAGGTTTCTGAGGAGAGCAGGCTGCCCCACTCCCCCAACCCCGCAAAGCCACCGGGCCAGCTTCACATCACAAAAAACCTGTTGGCAGACTCCTCTAGGAAGAGTCAGCCTCTCCCAACGCGCTCGGCTCTGCGGGAGCCACCCCAGGGGAGAGGAAGGGTCTCCTGGAGGAGGCCGGCCCCCACGCCCCCGTTCACCCACCCGGATCGGCCGAGCGCCCGGGCGGGGTCTCTGCCATCCCACGAGGTACAAAAGGCAGCTGGAGTCTGGCTTTGCAGCCCCCGTCCCCACTGTGCTGTGGGGGTCGGGGGTGGGGAGGAGAAAGGGGCCCTGCTCCAGCCCGACGCTGAGGGGGACCGGCCGGGATCCTGGGCAGAGGGGATACCTCCCGAATTCCTGGAGGAAACGGGAGCTGGGCTCTACAGCCGGCAGGAGGGAGAGTGGGCTCGGCTCCGGAGGAAAGGGGCGCCCGGTCCGCGGAGGGGAGGAAAGTGCTCTGGGGAGGAGGGGCGGGGTTGTTCCGAGCTGAAGGGTAGGCGGTGAGGGTCGGGAAGGGGCTGCGGGCCTGGGATGGGGGTAAGGGGAACCGCAGACACCGAGGACATAAAAGGAGGAGCTCCAGTAGGGAAACGGGGGTCCTGGCGGCGGAAAGACTGATGCATACGGGGAAAGGGCCGCGGGACAGCCCGTGGGGCGGGGCCTGCTGTAAAGAAAGGAGTCCCACCTGAGCCCGGGCGCCAGCTGGGGCAGCGGGGGTGCATGCTCTGGGGGGCTGGCCGGAGCGGAGCCGGCGTTCTGGAGGCGTCTGCTCCCGGTGCCCCGCTCCCGGCCCCCGAGCCCCGCGGCCCCGGCTCACCTCCGCTCCTCCGGGCCGGCCCGAGTGCGCGGCTGTGGCCGCCGGCAGCGTTGGGGAGGCGGGAGCGACCCGAGCCTGCGGAGCCGCCGCCGCCGCCGCCGCCACCGCCTTCAGCTCGGTTTGACACCCACACACCAGCCAACATGGCGGCCGGGAGGGGGTGCGCCGATGCGTGCGCGCCCCCGCCGGCCCCGCCCCTCCGGGCCCGCGAGGCCCCGCCCCCGCACCGCCGGCCCGCCACCTCCCCCAGGCAGCAGACGCCGGCGGACTGCGCGGCCCTCCTGCGGCGCCCTGCGACCGCGCCCCAGTCCGCCAGACGCTCCCAAACCCCACGCACTTCGACCCGCAACCGCTGCTCACCCTGGCAAATGAACTTTACACGAAATTGTGGTCCCTGCCCTCAAACAGAACCCCGCGCTGGGCAGCCTCGCCTCGGTCCCCCCAATTCTCCCAGACCCCACAACGCGTCCCGCAGCTCCACGCCCACCTCACCACCCCCAGTAACCCGCACGGAGCCCTCTCCTGCGCTAAAACTCGCATTCTTACCCTTGCAATATGCATTTGAAAACATTATTCGGATAGAGGTTTCCTTCTGGAGGAAAAGCCTGGAAGGGGCGAGGGGCTGCTAAAGGCACTGGTCAGGGCTGGTTTCTTGAGCTGGGTCCTGGGGTCACACGTTTGTTCCCTTTGTGAGAATTCGCTGATGGACACTTTAGATGTGTGTGCTTTTCCGTGTATGTGTTATAATTCAACAAAACACTCAAAAATTATTCTGAGAAGAAATGCATAGCCAAAGAAGAGATGCCAAAGGAGTCGTTATACTAAAATGATAGATCCCTCGGCTCACCGTCATACTCGCATGAGGGCTTTACAGACACCCCACGTGCAGGCTGGGCTTTCACACTGCCTCGCATTCCCACGCAGCACCAGGAACCACCTCTCCCCTTTGGTTCAGCCAGCACCCACACGGCGCCTACTGTGCGCTGCTTATGCTACTGGCACCGAGGGAGATAAAGACAAAGCTGGAAGACAGGGAGACCTTCGAGAGGTTCTCAGGACCTCCCAGCTGACTACCTACCTGCTCACGGCGTGGGGGTCAGCAGACTCACAGTGAGGTCTGGGGTATGGATCAGGGCTTGCTCAGTAGGCAGACAGCACCATCCCTGTTGCCTGTGTTCCAGGGTGACCCAGGTGACATCAACACTATGCCCTCACCACCAGCTCTGGTTTCAGGAAAGCTGTATGCAGAAGTCTCATGCCTCCCTCGCTTACTGAGTGACCCTAGGCAAATCACTGCACTTCTCTGAGCCTTGTCTTCCCCCACTTTATGAAGGAGCCCAGTGGAAGACTCCCAAGCTGGAACCTAGACTTCCCTTCTCTAGCAAAAAAGGCGGAGGAAGAGGGCCAGGAAGGGGTGGGAAGAAAGAGGTGGGGAAGGAGGGAAGAGAAGAGACAGAGTGACACTAACGCATTAGCAAACCCACAAGTCCAACTCTGATAATTTAGGTGCTAGATTCCCATCCCAATAGTCTGCCACCCCTCCCACTGCCCAGTGTCCCTTCTCCACCAGGGAAGTGAAGTAAGCTTGTGGCAGGAACCTGAGCTCCCCTCTTTGAACATGGTCCAACCCCATCCTGGAGAAGGCCCTCCACCAGCCCATCATTCCTTGCAAGCTGCTCCTCACTCTTCGCTGGGCCTTTTGGGAGACAGAACTTGACATGAAATTGTGGTGGTGTGCCCGGTTTCCTTGAGTCCCCCGTGTGTGGAGCCACAGTCACCAGGCTCAGTCGCGAGATGTAACAGCAAAACAGGTCTTTATTGCTAGCTCGAACTAGGGTCTCAGTGGCCCGTCAGAACACAGGACTCGGTCTGAGACCCTGAACAAAGTTCCCTTTTTGCTTTTATACTTTTGGAAAGTAATTAACAGTGCAGCAAAAAACAGGTAGGGGCTTTCCAAGGGGGGGGCGGTTATTGTGACCTTAGCTGATTGGCTGAGGAGGGTCAGGGTCTTGTTGCATAGGTTGCTGGGCGTGGTTTCCACGGGAATGGGCGTGGCTTGAGCGAGAAACTTCTTACTCAAGATGGAGGACACAGGACAAAATGGAGGCTGTCCAGTTGGCTAGGGGTCATGTAGGGGACATAGTTATTCAAAATGGAAGACACAAAATGGAGGCGGGGGTCATGTAGGGGACATAGTTATTCAAGATAGAAGACAGAAAATGGAGGCAGGGGTCATGTAGGGGACATAGTTATTCAAGATGGAAGACAGAAAATGGAGGCCGGGGGTCATGTTAACCTTCCAGAGGTCCTACAGTGGCCCCTGCCCTCAAACAGTTTACAGCTTCAGAGGAATTATGCCAGCACACAGTGGGGTCTTCAGCAGGCCTGAGTGCTTTACATAGATATCTACACCAGTGCTGCCTAGAACTTCCTGCAGTAATGAAATGTTCTCTAGTTGTACTGTCCACGTGTAAGCACTTAAATGTGGCTAGTGAGACTGAGGAGCTGAAGTTTTAAGACCTTATTTAGGTTTAACGAATGAATTTAAATAACCACATGTGACTAGATGATGCCACACTCAATAGCCTCAATCTAAAACCTCATCACAGCCCCACAAGGTGAGTGTTCTTATTGAATGCATTTCAGACAAGAAATTGAGGTTTGGAGAGATCCCAGGGCTTGGTCACCAAGGCAGAATTTTCTGCATACAGAGCCCAATTCTGTCCCCACTCAGCTAGCAAGTCTGGGCAGCCAGAGAGATAAGATGCAAGTTCTCTTTCTCTTTGGAAAGAGAACTGGATACAGATAAAGAGGTGATGAGCTAAGTACAACCCAGGAATTGAGTTGAAGAGCAGGAGATTGATCCAGGTTGGGAAGAGTGGGAGGGCCTCTTGAGGCCAGAAGACCACACCCCACTGTGCAAAGTCAGAGGGGACATTCCTAACATTCTTCCAAGTCTTTTCTCCTTGCTGAATCACATCACCCTCTCACCTTCCCTCTCAATTTTTCCTCATGATGAGCCCTGAAGGTCAGCAGTCCTATTCTCATTTTACAGATGAGAAAACAGAGACAGCACAGGGCAGTGCTGGGATTCAAACCTAGGTTCTGCTAAGTCCAGAGCATGTAAACAGTCCTGCAGAGAAGGGAACAGGGTAAACTGGACGACGTACCCAAACCCAGAGCAATCCCAGGGCACATGGCTGGAGCAGACACACTCACCTGCCCTTCCTAGGGTTTGGAGGTTTGTTCCAGGTACATAATGAGGCACAGTAACCAGAGCTGGTCAGAGAGGTGTTTCGAAGCGGAAAGAGATGGCTGTGCAGCCCAGGGATGTTTCTGGGGTCAGGGAGGAAGGGCTTCAAAAGGAGAACCCTTCAGGGAGAGAGAGATGGCAGATTGAGTGAAAAAAATTGCCTAGAAAGGTGGAGAAGGAGGTTCTGGGGTTCTTCACTGATGGTTTTGACTTTATATTCAAAACCATTTGTCCAGCAGAAAGATCCCTGTGCTAGAATCCAGAAACACCTAATTTATCCACTGATTTGCTCCTTGACCTTGGCCATGTCACCGCACACCCCAGTTTCCTGATACATGTAGTAGGAATAAAACCCCTTCCACTTTATATGATTGCACCGCAGTTCAGAATGAAATGCCAGAGGAGGAAATGCTTTGGACACGGAATGCAGATGGGAGAGATTCCCTTCCCCTGCAGCTCCAGGGGTGAGCCAATCAGAGCATCTCTCCCTAATCACAGTGATTGGTTCAGGAATGGGCGCATGACCCAAGACAGGCCAATGAGACTGAAGCCCAAGATTTATGTGGAAACTATTGGAAAAGAGAAGCTTCACTTCCCACTAGGTTGTTGAGCTAGTGGGATGTAAACCTGGAGAACCTCCACACTGGAATAGCCAGCCTGAGAATGAAGCCATCACAGAGAGGCAGAGATGAGAGAAAAAATTGATTTTTACTGTCATTATTTGAGCACCTTGGGCCAGCCATAATTGAGGCTTTCACCCTGGACTTTTCAGGACACAAGCCAATACACGAGTGGAAACTATTTTCACAGAAAATCAATCTCAAACTAGCTTAAATGAACATTAGACTCAATTGGCTAATTTAATTAAGATCTCCAGAGTTAGGGCTTCAGGTACAGTATGATCAAGTTTCTCGCTCTATTTCTTTGACATATACCCCTTATACCCCTTAGGCTAATCATTCTTTTCCTTGACTGGTATCTTGACTGGCTATAACTTAGTTGATCCATGCCTCACATCTGTAGCCACATCACCCAGGCAGAAATGTCTCCTCCTAACCAGCAAACTAATACTTAAGGCTTTCTCTGGTCAGAAGAAATTGGATTGCCTGCCCATCCCCAAGCCACCTGTGGGAATTTGAGATGAGAAATTAGGGTGGTTGGCTTAGGCCAGTCAAGTCTCATCCCTGGAGTTGGAGTGCAGAGTTATGAGAGGGGAATGTGGGACCCCTGTAAGGTTAGCTTGACCCCCTGCCTCCATTTTGTGTCCTCCATCTTCAATAACTATGTCCCCTACATTACCTCCTGCTTCCATTTTGTGTCCTCCATCTTGAATAACTATGTCCCCTACATGACCCCCCCGCCTCCATTTTGTGTCCTCCATCTTGAAATAACTATGTCCCTTACATGACCCCCTGCTTCCATTTTGTGTCCTCCATCTTGAAATAACTATGTCCCCTACATGACCCCCTGCCTCCATTTTGTTCTGTGTCCTCCATCTTGAGTAAGAAGTTTCCCGGCTCAAGCCACGCCCAGCAACCTGTGCAACAAGACCCTGACCCTCCTCAGGCAATCAGCTAAGGCCACAATAAACCACACCCCTTGGAAAACCCCTACCTGTTAATTACTTTCCAAAAGTATAAAAGCAAAAAGGGAACTTTGTTCAGGGTCTCAGACCAAGTCCTGTGCTCTGATGGGCCACTGAGACCCTAGTTCGAGCTAGCAATAAAGACCTATTTTGCTCTTGCATCTCGCAACTGAGCCTGGTGACTGCGACTCCACACAGGGTACTCAGGAAACCGGGCACAACAGGGACTAGAAGCTGGGGAGGTGTGTAGCAATAACCTCCCTTTCCTCCCTCAGCTAGTTAACTTGGTTTTCATCCCTCAGAACCCAG